ATTTCACAGATGAGGAAAGCGTCTCAGAAAGAGACCGCCCTCGCCAAACTGCTTCTGGCCTCGTGAGTGAAGAGTGAAGCAGGAGGGCAATGCTTAATCCAGCCTAAAAGATGGCTTTGGGAATGATGCTGTCTTGAAAGGTGGCAAGTTGGCCTTCTTTGGGCAGAGAAAAGGACGGAGATGGTGACGGAGTTTAGATTCAAAAATCAGATGGACCCCTTACTGGCTGAGGGACACTGGGCAAGTACTCCACCCATTTGAGCACCAGTTTCCTCCTCTGTAACATGGGCATGATGGACAGGGTCACCCCTGCAGGGCTGTGGTAGGGGGTCTAATGAGAATGCATGTAGGGTGCTGGAGAAGCCACCACCCCCATGGCCCCTCAGTCCCTCAGGCAGGACGGGGAGCCAAGCTGGGAGAAGAAACTGAATGGAAACATCAGGGCTGCCCTCCAAGATTGAGGATGCACCCCTCTCCCTCCCTGGGTCTTGTCCAGCAAGTTCTGCCCTGCCGCAGGCTCTGTCCTGCTCTGACGTGATGCTTACAAGCACAGGTTCTAGATCCAGGCAGAGATCAGCAACTAAGTACACTGCCTTGGGGAAATAATTTTGCCTCCCCGAGTCTCAGTGTCCTCATCTGTAAAATGGGGATCATTTTCCTACTTCCTAGCACATTTCATCATGAAGATGAAATGAGCCAATGGGTATGAAAAATATAGCACGCGTCTGGCGTATGAAGGGTCATCAGGGACTGAGAGCTCACGTTGTCATCACTGTTGTTGCTGTGGGTGTCCCTCGTGGACCTAGAGCCCCCAGGAGCCTCCCCAGCCCTGGCCTGGCCCACTGACAGTCTCCACCCCCTCCACGGTTCTTCACGTCCTGCCGCCACGACAGAGCACACATACTGTGTGAAAGGGCACATCTCTCTTTGCCCTGGAATTAGCCTTGTTTTAGGTCTTAGGGCTGATCATTAATCTGTCCGTGCTCTCTGATCCCACCGCTTGTGAAAGCAGGTGTCTGCCCCAGCTTCCCAGGCTCTCCTAACCTCCTGACATCTTGCAGCATTTGGGAGAAGACTCTGGATTTCAATTTGTACCCAACACTGTGTGTGACCCTTGGCAAGTCCTTTCCTCTTCCTGGGTCTCAGATTTTCCATTTTTATAATGAGGGACATGGCTTTCAAACCTTTTTTTTTTTTTTTTGGCCCCTAGAATTTTGAAAATAAAGAACAGAACAAAACAAAACAAAACAAAAACAACTCTTGAAAATGAGGCAGAATGGCAGAGATTAAGAGTTCAGGCTCTGAAGTCAGTCACCCTGGATTCAAAATCCCATAGCCATGGAGCCACCCAGGTATTTTGAATGCCTCTCTCCCCTGCTCATGCTTGTGCACTCTCTCTGTCTCTCTCTCTCTTTTTACTTTATTTATTCATGAGAGATACAGAAAGAGAGAGGGAGGCAGAGACACAGGCAGAGGGAGAAGCAGGCTCCATGCAAGGAGCCCTATGTGGGACTCGATCCCAGGACCCCAGGATCATGCCCTGAGCCAAAGGCAGATGCTCAACCACTGAGCCCCCCAGGAGGCACTCTCTCTTTCTCTGTCTCAAGTAAATAAATAAAATCTTAAAAAAAAAAAAAAAGAAAGAAAGAAAAAAGAAAACACACACAAAAAAACAAAATACCGGAGCCACTATTTTGAAACTGTGACCTTGGAGGCTACTTTATCCTCTTTTTTTTTTTTTTTTTTTAAATTTCTTCCCCAGTTTCCAATCTTCTAAATGAGGTCAATGCAGGTTTCACCTCCTGTAGACATAAAGCGCTACGAAGAGCCCCAAGGCTCAGTAAACATCTGTAATTGTTTCCCTGGACGCCCAGCGTTTAAACTAGGTAAAGTGGAGAAGCTGGGGTAGAAATGGGAGAAGGACCAAAGTCTTCACCGCCTGTCACCACTCAGGGTGATGATGACACAGTTCTCTGGAAGCCTTGAGACTTGGGGGGAAACAGTCTGAAAATGAAGGAAGCAAATTCTGGCCCATGGGCTGAATCTGGCCCACAGCCTACTGACTCAGAATGGTTTCTACATTTTTAAATGGCTGGAGAAAGCCAGTAGAAGCAAATACTTCATATTGTAAAAAAAAAAAAAAAAAAAAAAAATTTAAGATTTTATTTATTTATTCATGAGAGACACACAGAGAGAGGCAGAGACACAGGCAGGGGGAGAAGCAGGCTCCCTGCAGGAAACCCGATGCGGGACTCGATCCCGGGACCCCAGGATCATGACCTGAGCTGAAGGCGGATGCTCAACCACTGAGCCACCCAGGTGCCCCTCATGATGTCAAAATTATATAACATTTTAATTTCAGCACCCATAAATAAACTTTCATGGGCACCCAGCCATGCCCACTTATTTCGATCTTGCCTGGGGCTGCCTTTTCTCTGCAAGGGCACAGTTGGAGCAGTGGTGATGGTGTGGCCAGCAAAACCTAAAATATTTTACAGTCTGGTCACTTACAGAAAAAGTTTTCTGACCCCCGGTATAGAAGATCTCTTCCCTTCCATGTGGAAGGCTTTGACCTTCAGAGGCTCTGCTACTTTACCAACAATGTGATTAATTCTGTTCGTATCACTTTACCTCTCTGAACCTCATCAGTCAAGTACTTATAATGATCATTTCTAACTTGCGGGGCTGATGTGAAAATAAAACAAGCAAGACCCCTTACTGCCTGATAGGCAAATACCCATACCGCAGTGAATGAGATGAACTTAGATGGTACATGGATCAATATTTAGATTTTTAACATATGTATTAATTCTAACACGCATTCAAAAAAAAAAAACATAACTAGCACTCAAAGCCCATGGTTTCATGAATCATGCTTGTTGTGTTATTTGGGATAAATGATCCAGAGTTTCTGGGCTGATCTGCCATCTATCCTACAACCTGTGCCTTCCCAGGTAGCATCGCTGGTCCTCACATCATATGCATGTTCCAGGCACAGGAGTAGAGGGCAGGAAAGGCGGGACCCGGGAGCTGCATGGACCATTCCCACTCAATACTGGGGATAAACTAGAAATTTCTGCCCACGTTTGAACCGATTTAAAGCTTCCTTTTAAAATACATTTATGTAAATAGGGGCGTCTGGGTGGCTCAAGTTGGTTAGACGTCCAACTCTTGGTTTCAGCTCAGGTTGTGATCTCAGGGTTGTGAGATCGAGCCCTGCTCAGGCTCCACGTTGAACATAGAGCCTGCTTGGGATTCTCTCTCTCCCTCTGCCCCTCTCCGTGCCTGCACACTGGTGCTCTCTCTCTCAAACATACATACATAAATAAAACACATTTATGTAAATAAAAAGAAAGACATTTTTTAAAGCAGACAATGTGGCAGCCACTGCCACCACGAGGGAAAGACCAAGGGAATCACAGAGATGCCAGTGAAAAGTTCTGATATCTTCGTGCCTCTGAATCAATCCTGAAATTGCCTTTCTCTGACTTCTTGATGTTTGAGGAAAACGAACCCTTATCTTTCAAGCCACCTGCAGACAGACCTTCTGCCTGCATTCCCACCAACACAGCTGGTTCCACGGGTAAGAGGGCACACTCTGGAGCCAGACTGCCCGGGTGCAAAGTTGAGCTCAGTTATTGATGTGCTGTGTGACTTGGGGAAGTGACTTCCCCTCTCTGAGCCCTTGCTCAGTCATCTAAGAATGCAGTGGCTACTTATATTTTGTTTTGTTTAGAATAGTTTCTGAGGTTCAAGTGAAAAATCCTTCAGTAGGTGGCACGTTCTCACTCTTTGTTGTAGGACGCCCCTTTTTTTGTTCTTTGTTTCTTTCTTTGGTCTCTTGGATTCCCATTTCCCACTCCCAACCTTCCCAGAGCAACCATGCAGATGGGTTTAACTGTAGCTTTTCATTTGCTGGTGTTCTTGCAAAATGGTCACTTGTGTGAATTTTTAATTTACATAATGGTATTGTCTTCTAGATCTCATCCTGGTTTCTTTTTCCAATCATGACTATGTTTTATGAGATCCATTTCTATAACTACGTTCCTCTGATTCTTTGCTCCTACAGCTGCATGGTGCTCAGTGGAACACATTTGACCTTTCCCCTCTATTGGTGGTCGTGCTCGTGTGGCTACTAACACACCACACCACAGAGAATGCTGCAGTGAACACTGTCACACCTGTCCCCTCGTGGACCTCTATCAGAACTCCTTTGGCATTTGTATCCAGGAGCCAAACTGCTAGGTGACAGGGTATCTGCACTTCTTCTAAGGGTATGTGCACATTTAATTCAATTGAATATCTGCAGAATTCCCTTAAGAAAGGCTGATCTAGTACACACGCTCTCTGGAAGAACACAAGGGTTCCCATGGCCCCATTCTTGCCAACACGGGGCATTATCCAGCTTTTGTATCTTTGCTGATCTCACTGAAGTAAATCACATTGCATTTCAATTTGCATTTCTCTAGGTATTAATGGTTTTGAGCAACTCTTCAAATGCTCTAAAGCCAGGTTTAAGGTTTAAGTATTGTATCTACTTCATAGATATTTTTTTAAATATTTTATTTATTTATTCATGAAAGACACACAGAGAGAAAGACACAGACACAGGCAGAGGGAGAAGCAGGCTCCATGCAGGGTGCCTGACATGGGACTCAATCCTGGGCCTCCAGGATCACATCCCAGGCTGAAGGCGGCACTAAACTGCTGAGCCACTCGGCGCCTAGTTAGATGGTTTTGAGAAGTAGAAGATGCTGTAGGCAAAGCGTTGGCCTCATTACTCAGTACACAGTAAGCACTCAATAAATGAAAATCTTTGAAAAACCAAGGTATCAAGTTTTGACTTAGCTAATTCTCAGTTTTTATTATTATTTAAACACTTGGCACATAGTAGATGCTCAATAAGTGCATTCGCTTCACCCTCCTCTGCACCCTTTGGATGTCCTGCTCCAACTCCTCCACGTTGGTGGGGCCGCCCCAGTCCCTTTCCACAGCCTCACCTGTGTTCTCGTCACTCTGCCAGCTGAGGTCTTTCTGAGCCTCCTTCTGGCTGAAGAGACTTTTCAGGATGGCACTGGCGATGGGCAGCATCATGGCGGTGGAGGCAGTATTGCTCAGCCACATGGACAGGAAGGAGGTGGTCACCATCATCCCCAGGATGAGCCTGGGAACAGAGGGCATTAAAGGCACACCCAGAATGGGGGCCCAAGAGATTCTCTGGTTCTATTTTGCCGACCCTGAGGAATCCAGCCCACTTGTTTTACAGATGGAAAGTTAAGGACCAGAGAAGACAAGCCAGTGACCAAGTAGGGACCAGATTCACTTACCAGCCTTATTTCAGGTCTAAGGAAACTGATTCCACACATTAAGTGAGCTGGCCACAAGCACCCAAGGTAAAAGAGTCCAAAGACACGCCAACACTGAAATTTTCTCTCCCTTGACCCCCAGTCCTTGATGGCTTCCATTACAGAATAAAGTTGCCTTGGCTTGGCACCAAGACAGTCTACCATATCCCTCCAAACCATCTTCCCAGCCTCTTCTCCCACTTCCCCTCCCACTCCTACCAGGCACCTGCTTAGACTCCCCTGATCTCACCAACACACCCCAATAGGGCCCCGATCTCCTGCCTGCCTGCCATTGCTTGGCCCCTCCTAGTAGCAAGAATCCAAATTCCATGATCTTTTTTCCTTACATTGAATTGTTAACCTACCTGGAATTTATCTAAATGGATAATAAGATGAAGTAAGATCTAAGTAGATTATTTTTTTTCAAAGAATAAGCCAATTATTCCAACCCTCACCATTTACTGAATAATCCTTTCTTTCCCATGAATTTAGATTTCTTCCGGAATATGTATCCAGCATTTAAAAATCTATTTCTGGACTAGTGTCATGCTGTTTTCATTGTTCTAACTTTATCATATGTTTGAATAACAGCCCCACCCAGTCTTCAAGGTCAAACATAACCTGCTCCATGAAGTCGTCTACCCCTTACCTCTCCTGTGTGCTCCCACACCACATGCACCCCTAATGTTGGAATTTCCGCTTTGCATTGGAATCAGTTCTATGGATAGTGTCTCTCCAACAGGACTCACAGTCCCTCCATGAGGAAACACAGCTACAGAACCTAGCAAAGGGCTTGACGTAGAGCAGATACTAGACACTTAGGAGTTATCTAGAACCTTCTTCTCCCTAATCACTACTCTCATCGATTTTATCAACCCAAGAACTCTCAAAGCTATTTATCCTGTTCATCTCCACTCCCACCGTTCAAGTCCAGGCTGTCACCATTGCTTGTCTGGACACCCAGAGCAGTCTCCTAACCAGGCTGCATTGGGTGTGTCACTCCTAATCTGCTCTCCACCTAGCAGCCTAGAGGAATTTTTTTTTTAATGCAAATCTAGTTCATGTCATTCCCCAACTTAGAACCTTTAAAATGCACAGATTCATAACCAGCAAGGATGTGGATATGATTCAGGATGGAAATGAGGAGAAAAATGCATCTTTATTTTACTAACCTCTAATGGAAATAAGTATTTCCTTTGGTGATAAACAAAGGCAACAAAGTTCAATAGTATTAGAAGTGCCTGGGACTCCGTTGTAATTAAGATCACAGATATTTCCAGATCATTTTATAATAGATGCATTTTATTATAGTAGATGCAAATATCTTAGAATTTCACTGACACTCAAAACAGTCTCAAAACTGTAGCTGTTATTAGGCACTGGATCTAGTCACTGGATCTTACCATTTACTGTAAAGGAGTACAAATGGTACTATATCACAAATTTATCTGTTTTTAAAATTTTATTTGGATAATTGCATTTTGTTGTGACTGTTGTTTTAAATCCTGTGTGTTATGTGCTTTATACATTTAAAAACATTATTCTAGTAACGGATCCTTAGGTTGCAACAAATTGTAAAGGAAAAAAAAACACCAAAGGAACAGTGAAACCCTATTTTAAAGGCCATTTAATCTTCTTAGAATAAAAGTTCAAATCCTAGCCAGGAAGCCGGAGGCCCTGCAGGAATGGCCCCTGCCTCCCTATCTCTCCAGGCCATCTTGCCTCCTACTCCCCACCTGCTTGGGCTATTAAACAGCAAAATGGGATGATAATGGCCAGGATTTATTGCACTTTACAGGTCTAAGTTATTATACTTTCATTTTAGAGGCAAAGAGAGAGAAGTTAAGTCGTTTCCCAGAGCAGGAAAGGTGGGTTTCAGACCCAGCAGTCTGGGAGTCACACTACTAAGATGGATCTCTCTAAAGCAACTAGACACTAATCCCTGGGGGCAAGGCCTGTGATAAGTATTTCAGTTGGCTCCCCAGGTGATTCTTATGCGCTTTTGAGAACAGCCTAAAAGCCTGGCACTGGTCTGGCACACAGAAAGGGCTCACAAAATATCCAGGGAATGAATGAGTAAATGGAAGTTGGGATATGATGAGCTTGTTGGCCTGGGTGACCAGACCAGGAAGAGTGAGTTTGGGCTCCAAGAGATGCGGTCCCTCTGCCTCCCCACCTTTGGACTGGACCCATTACCTGGTCTTACCTGGCTGGCTGGACCCCAGCGAGCATTAGGATCTTGAGGGCGATTCTCCGGTGCAGGTTCCACTCCTCAATGGCACTGGCCATGATCAGCCCGCTGAGGAAGAGGAAGTTGGTGTCCAGGAAGTACTGGGGGCAGACTTTGTTGGAGGGCAGAATGCCCAAGAAGGGGAAGAGGATGATGGGCAGCAGGGCCGTCACCGAGAGGGGCAGGGCTTCTGTGCACCAGTACACCGCCATGAGCAGGATGACAAACAGGCAGCGGCCTTCCTGCGGGGAATGTGGGGGTGAGATGCAGCTCAGAAGGGTCAGTGGAGCCCTGAGTGGTAGAGGGAGAAGAGATCCTGGGGTAGCACCCATCAAGGTGTGTTCCACAGGGAAGCTATGGAGAGGATGAGCACCCAAAGTTTTGACCTTGAGCAGATAACATCACCTATCTAAGCCTCATTTTGCTCAACTATACAATAGGAAGGCAATATCTGTATATTTTATAAGACTGTTCGAGGATTAAATGAAATATTCCATTGGGTTAGAAGTAGACCCCAAGATGAGCATGAGTGTGAAAATAGTTTACTTGAGGGTGGATCCCAGAAAGTTCTGGAAGGACGACAACAGAGAAGTGAAACAGAAGGAAGCCAATACAGACAGTGTATTAATGGGAAGAACACCCCTGTGGCCAGTTGAGGCTCAATCCTGATGGGGGCCCCTGAGAGAGAGTGTAGATCATGCTTCAGGGTTGTCCTTCCGGGAGACAAGGGAGGTGGCTTTTTACCTGCCAACTCCTGGCCATCACTGGTTGAAGGCTGCTCCTGAGAGCATTAATTCCCCCAAACTTCTTGCCTGCCCTGCATAGAGTGAGAGAACACACCAGTACAGAGCATCTCAGGTTCAGTAGGAGGCCACTGGCACGTGCAGAATGGCGAGTGCCAATGGAGATGTGGAGAGAGCACCAGTAGCAGTTACCACACCCATGCACAGCACTTACACAATGCCCAACACAGAGCACACACTCTGTTAACAGTAATAATAATAAGCAATATCTGTGGGGCTCTAAAGTACTGGGAACGGTTTGATCCTCACAAAATCCCAGAGGAGTAAGTACCCCCATTTTACGGAGCAGAAAGCTGAGATGCAAGGAGGTCACTAGCAAGACAATGATTGTGCAGAACATGTCAATCTGCATCCAGAGCGATCGCTTTTAAACAAGTACCCCCCAACTGTTATTAGCTCAATACTAGAACCTATGACAATTTGACAGGGCAACATTGAAGATTCAGAACAAAATAGCTCAGTGGTTGCCAGGGCTTGGGCAGTAGGTGCATGTATTGGGGAAGGGGGGCTGCAAAGGAGTTCAAGGGAACATTCTGGGGTGATGGAAATGTTCTAGAAACAGGAGTGTTGTAATGACAATGCCTTCACTTCCGTAACATCAGCGTCTCATAAGATCCATCGTCAATAGTGTCTTATTACTATTCACATGGTCACTATTTGAATACAATTTCTTACTGTCCTGACCTTGCTTTCTTACGGTCTTTCAAGGCAATGACCTTGCATGTTCCAGGAAACACAGACTATTTCTTGAATTTGATGCTGTCTGGTACCATTTTATGCTTCTTACTTCTTACTCACAGTAGGTTTGGTTGACTTTATTCAGTGTCCACAAGAAATTGAACTGAATTCCATCCTAACAGAACATGGCATCGGCTACATGCAGACACTAGGACTAGTTAATCCATTACCAGATGGGCAAGGGCAGGATCCGAGGGACTGACGGCTTTGGCAGCAATCCAAGCAAAGATTACCAGTGCCTAGGGTCTGGGAGAGTGGTAGCGGTAGTGAGAAGTGATCAAATTCAGGGTGTATTTCCAAGGGAGAGCCTGACAGCTTTGCTGAGGATCTGCTGGGTTGTGTAAGGGAGAGAGGGCAACCAGGAGGAATTCTAGTTGTTGGCCTCAGCAGGGGGAAGAAGGATGTAGTCACTTACAAGCTGGGAAGACTGTGGGATATATCCATACCCATTTGCATACCTTGAGAAAATGCATCCTGTTTTCTCAAGAACCTGGCTGGGAGTTGAGACCAGGAAAATGAGTGAGACAAAGAGACTCCCTTGAGCCAGCAAATCTGACCATGCCAATTATAGAAGATTCTCGGTGGCTAGTTGTTCTCAAACTTGAGTGATCCTCGCAGACTCAGTCTACCAAGTCTCCCTCGAGCAGAGGTTTGCTGCTAAGTGTTTAACAGCTGGCTCTCTGAAAAGCTCTGTATGTGTGTATATGTGTGTGTGTGTAGAAATTTTTGATTACTATTCAGTGTGGTTAGAAGTCACTCATGTCATTGACCCATGAATTCAGTTCTACTATGAATGTCAGTTTATCTTTTTATTTACGCTAGTGATTAAGACAAGAAGGAAACAATGAAGTATGTCAGAAATTCACTTGTTCACCAATGATGGGAGTGACTTCTGTACTGAATCAAATGATAGTTTTCAAATACTGGCAGATACTTCTTCATTTTGGGGTGTGTGTGCATAATGTGACCATGGTAGACGCAACATATTTTAAGTTTAATCTGCACTAGTAGCATTTTCATCACTTTCTTAAATCTAGACAAGCAAGGGGCTCCTGGGTGGCTCAGTTGGTTAAGTGTCTGACTCTTGATTTTTGCTCAGGTCATGATCTCAGGGTTGTGAGATCGAGCCCCACATTGGGCTGGCGGTGGGCATGGAGGCTGCTTAAAATTCTCTCTCTCATCGCTTCTCGGCCTTTGGCTAGATCAAGTGAAATTCTCTCTCTCCCTCTGCCCCCTTGCCCCCCTCAAAAATAAAATAAAATAAAAGTCTAGACAAGCAACAATAGACTAAGCCCTGATTTGCAGTGTTTGCCAACTTCTATGGTATAAATACCTCCACGTAGTTGATTTCAAGCTATCAAGTGAGCACTGAATGAGATAGGCAGAATCACACCACTACATAGTACTTCCTCCATCCATACTGAGATAAATAACACAGATACAGATAATCTCAAGATCTTAGATACTAGTAAAATGATCAGGAAATGGTGAGCTTTGAGTATCTATTACCTTTGTGTTAATATATTGAATTACAAGTTTGTATGATTTCATTTTAAATATCTATGTTCACGACTGGCTAGCAAAATTTATGAAAACTTGACAATCAGATCTGAGAGCTAGGACACATGCTCCAGGACACTGTTGCAGGCTTTCAAGTAGAACATCTGTGCAAATCCCTACCAAGAAATCTGAGTCACGTTCTGTTGCAAACTGGACATTCTTCAACCCATGCTTGGTATCATGTATATTGATACCCATATATCAATACCCATGTACCCATACCCATGTATATGGGTATCAAATATACCCATGCTTGGTATATTTACAAAGGCAAGCCCCAGCAATCATAAAGTCATCCCTGTGTACGTAGGAGTGAATATAAAAGGACTTCATCTCCTCAACATGGAAACTAAGGCTTTACTCATCAGTCTTAAGTATGGCTGTTTTATGTGGCAATTGGGGGATGCTGATACATGTTTTCAGATCCATAGTATGGAAAATAAAATGAGCTTTATAGTACACACGAAACAGGCTGGCCTTGTGGTAAAACTATTAATGAAGCTAAATGGACAGTTAATGCCCACCGAAAGAAATTCATGAGAGGAAGGCAGCTGATATTTAAGCCACCACATTTTGTAATGCAGATTTTTTCCATGAAAGATTTCTTAAACTATTACTTTTAAGAAGGCATTTAGTCTCTTGTAATATATATGTATACTGCTACATTGTACAGAATCTGTACTTCTGTTTGGTGTGTAATATACCAGTTAGTTTTATATAATATCCTCATAAACTATTCTAATTTTTGAGAGAAACACGCAAAAAAGTGTAGATTGATCATCTGTATATTAATGGACAAAACAGTAAGCTTTATAAAAAGTTATTTTTGGTAAATGGTAAAGAATTTGGAGTGGAATGTAATGAAATTAAAATATAGCTTTGGTATAACTTTGTGTGTCATTTCAAAATATACTGGAAGTCAACATATTTGAATAAAAAATATATTTTCTACTTAAAAAAATGCAACTATTTTTTAAAAATAAACTACTATTTTCTGTCATAATGCAACTATTTTTTAAAAATAAACTACTATTTTCTGTCAAGTCTTACTGCTGGCTCAGGAATACATGCCACAGCTTATTTTATATATACCACCTGACAGACCGACAGGTATCCTGGCTTAGAAGACATATGTCTACCTTAGCTCAGGCTTCTATAACCAAATCCCATGGGCTTAGTGGCTGAAACAACAGACATTTACTTCTCACGGTCCTGGAAGCTGGAAAATCTAAGATCAAGGTGCCAGCACATTTGGGTTCTGGTAACAGCTCTCTTCCAGGCTTATAGATCCCATCTCCTTATTATGTCCTCACCTGGTCCTTACTTGGTATGCGCACGCAGAAAGCTCTCTTTCTCCAAAGGCTATAATCCCATTACGGGGTCCCACTCTCATAAACTGATCTAATCTTATAGTTTCAAAAGGACAATATAGGGGTTATATGAACGACTTTCTACCATTAACTTTGATAACCTAGAAGAAATAGAAAAACTTTTCGAAAAACATAACTTATTCAAACTATTAGAAAAAGAAAAAGCCGAATGTTTCAGTATCTATTAAAGGGGCAAAATCAAGCATCATCATTTTTTTCCTGGGAAAAAAAAAAAAACTTCAAAAAAAGGCCTGCTGGCTTCAGTGGTAATTCTACCAAACATTTAAGGAATAAAAAAATACACATCTGGGCAGCCCCAGTGGCGCAGTGGTTTAACGCCGCCTGCGGCCTGGGGTGTGATCCTGGAGACCCTGGATCGAGTCCCACATCAGGCTCCCTGCATAGAGCGTGCTTCTTCCTCTGCCTGTGTCTCTGCCTCTCTCTCCTCTGTGTCTCTAATGAATAAATAAAATCTTAAAAAAAATACACATCTTACATAAGTTCTTCCAAAGAATAGAGAAACGAGATACAATTCATTTTATGAGGTCAGGGTAACCCTGTTACTCTCTTACCCTGACGAGGGCATTGAAAAGAGTAATGCTTGAGCATGATGGGACTTGCAAAGCCATCTGGGAAACCAGTTTCCTTGTCTCTCCTGCCTCTCATCACCATGCAAAAGAATTATGGAGACGATGACAACCAAAAACACCAACATTTTCATGTATTAACTCATTCAATGATGGGTACTAATACTATCCTCTACTTCATCCG